CTTCCACAACACTGGTGATTGATGATGCTTCCTTATTTCTAGGCACAATGGAAGTCATGAGTATTGGGAGTAATGTCCACTTGTGAGCAATTCCTCTACTTCATGGACTGCTATTTCTTTCAAGCATCATGGTGTTCTTTAGAGTAAGAACTTACCTCTGGGGACTAGTAAAATATATTATTTCTAGGAGATTTAAATTTTTACTTCAGTATTATGGGGAAACTGGGACACTTTAAAACATAAAAGTCCATAAAATGGGGCCATTTGAGACTGTCTTATTCCTGGGGGAAGAAGATTTTTAAACATATCCTGCCATGCAAAAAAAATAAATAGCTTCATAAAACTGTCCAAGAGAAGATGAAGTGGTTGTAATTATAAGAACAAAATCTTCTGAGACACTTAATAGCCCACAAAATTTAATTATTGATCATAACATCCTTTTCTTCATGATACTTATAGAACATCTAAAGTATCTCTTTCTAAACAGGTGAACAAAGTGCTACCATATTGTATTAGTTTGGGTTTGGTGCTGTAACAAATAGCCAGAAATGTTGTGTCTTAACATAGCACATTTTTTTCCATATAGATCTGGAGATCAGAGGTCTCAAAACTTGGGTGTTTTATTTTAGTTGGTTTGCTTCTTTTACTCAGTGGCAGGATGCTTAAGAGGAAAATCTACTCACTTCTTTCTTTCCAGCTACACCCAAAGGCCTTAGCTCATTGCCGTTTCTAACTGCTACAAAACCAGAAGTGTGAGTCTATGTGACTCAGGCCTCCAGCCTCTCTTTAGTAGACTTTTTGAGTAGGAACACATGCTCACAGGGACACACATTTATGTGTGAGTGCACATGCACATGAGCATGTAGAAACCAGAGGCCAGCCTTGGGTGTTGTTCCTTAGCAGTAATCTCCCTTGTTTTTCTGAGACAGGATCTCCATAGCCCTGGAGCTTATTAATAAGCCAGGTTGCTTAATCAATTGGTCTCCAAGATCCACTGCCATTAGCTCCCCAGAACAGAGATCATAAGAGCATAACACCATATCCAGATTTTTCCCTAAATTGACCTATGAGTTTATGAGGGCCAATTACATTCAAACTACCACAAACACTAAATGTTGTGTTATTTTCAGACATTTAATCCGCTAGCATTATGGAGTAATACTCCTTAACAATACCTTTCATTAAATCTTGTGAATGTAAATGAAAGACTATGAAAAAAACTAATATTCATTGTACTAGCTTTGGGAGTAACACAGTCTCATTAAATACATATAATATAAAAGCACAATAACCATTGGTGAAAAAAAATGAGGCCATGGATTTGACAGACAGTGGGGAGGAAGGATTTGGAGAGAGGAAAGGGAAGGGAGATATGATGTAATTAAAATACAACCTCAAGAAAGTTCTCAATGAGAATTTCTATACTAGAAATCATTTTGAGTAATCATATCCTAGCTCTGACTTGAAAGAAGTCACCTTCTACAGAACATTCAAGGCCATGCAATTGATAAATGATAAGCACTCGTGTGGTTAATGGAAGATAGGCTTGTAATTTTGTATAACATACTTAGAAGGTGTCAAAAGAGAACATTTGGTTCTAGCATCTCTTATAAAAGACTTTGGATAGGAGAAATGTTTTTATTCTGAAGTCCTTGATCATGGACCTCATTTGGAGAAGACACCACTGAATTTTACAAAGATAACATAAAAATTTTTTAATACCATTGAGAGAGCTACAGGTTCCCTAAGTCTGATATGAAAAACAGATGCCAGTAAAGACAACAGTGGCTGTCACAGTGAACAGACCTCTCCTACAGCTAATACAGTGGAAATGGAACAAACTTCTCATTAAGTACCATTAAAGTCATGATTTTTCTAAAAACCATGAACTGGAGGATGATGACTGAGTCAGCATCTGGATTGGCCCAGATAGTGTTCATACAAGATTTTCTCAGTAACCGGAGACTTGAATCCTGAGAACTACATTTGGCTTCTATCTATCCTTCCCTTTCCTGATTATTCCACCTAAATTTATTTTTGCAAGCCCCCTACAGCATATGATAGATTTTTTTTATTCTTTTGGTTTTGCTCAGAAATGAGAACCATCAAAAATATATTGAATATGCCACTGTTAACCAAATGAGACACCCAAGATTATTGTGGGATAATCTTTTTGTACACTGTGATGACGTGTCTCTGCCAACGCACTTTCTTGTTATTTAAATTGGGAGCTGAAAGGCCAATAGCTATACAAGAGAAGATAGGCAGGACTTCCAGGCAGAGATAGGAACTCTGGGAAGAACAGAGGCAGGATTCACCAGCAAGATATGGAACAAGTTGGATGTACTGTACTGAGGAGAGGCAACAAGCCATGTGGAATAATATAGATTAATATATACAGGTTAATTTAAGTTATAAGAGCTAATAGGGAACAAGCCTAAGTAAAGGCCTAGCTTTTGCACCTAATAAGAAGTCTCCTTGCCATTTGGGAGCTGGTGGTCCAAAGAAAGCCCAGCTATGCAATGTGATGCTTGATGGGAGATGTCAATCTGTAAATATGTTTCTCATACTGGTTAATGAATAAAGCACTGTTGGCCAATAGGAATGCAAGATAGGCAGGGCTAGGAGACAAGGAGGATTCGAGGAAGTAGTAGGGAGGAGTCAGCATATAGAGACTGGAGAGAACAGAGGTCCAGGCCCAATTTCCTGTAAGATGAAACCATGTGGAAACACTTAGAAATGGGTTAATAATTAAGACAGAGATAGCCAATAAGAAACTAGTAACTGGCCAACAGAATTATATCAAATACAGCGTCTCTGTGTGTATGTTATTTGGGGCTGCCATGGCGGTGGGACCAGCGGCGGGGGAAAAACCCTACTCATAACAGATGCTTTTAAGTTTTGGACTGGAGCCTTGAGCCAGCACTTCTCAGGTCCCAGCTCATTCAATCTGAGTGGTTCCTTCACCCTCCCACTCATCTGTAGTTCAGAAAAGCTTAATATAAAGCATTTCTTCTGATTTTCCATTTTACCACAATATATTAATTACAAATAGTTTTTTCACTTATGATGGTATCCAATATGCTTTCTGTTCTATACTATACATTCTTTAATGTAATAATAAATATTATTCCATAATCCAAAAAATACAAACTCAAAAATAAACAAAAACCCTCACAAGACATTTTTCCAAGAAAAGGTAATTATTATATTTTATATAATATATGGTTAAATGAGACCTCCATCTCATAGTCTCTGATACAGTAAAAAATGTGTTTATTTGCATGAATGTTCATGTATATGTGTGTGCATGTACGTGTGTGCGTGGTAACAATAACAGCATTCAATGAGTGCTTACTCTGTTCCAGAAATTTTTCTTAGCACTCTACTTTGATTACTTGTTACCTTGACAATAACCCTGTGGAGTAATTCCTATGACTACCCTTACCTTACATTTGAGGACATAGAGGCACAGAGATGTGATAAGAGCCAAATTTCAAACTGAGTAAGTGATAATTCTAGGATTTGAACCCAGTTGTTCTCCTCAGAAGTCTCTTGGATTTGTAGAGCGGGCATGGGTACAGTATTATTGGTAATGTTTTTCTACTTTACTAGTATAAAAGTAATACATGACTTTTCTTTTAAGTTTCATTTCAATTATTGATGTATGTCCTTTGCATTTATTATTTTATGCCTTTCTCCTATTTTCTCTCTTTTTTCCTTTTGTTGAATATAAACTTTTTCTCACATAATATATCCTGATTACCATTTCTCCTACCTCTGTTCCTCCAAAGTCCTTCCCACCCCCACCCCACCCCACCCCAATCTGGATGCAACTTTCTGTCTCTCATTATAAAACAAACAGGCTTCTAAGGAATAATAATAAAGTAAAGCTAAACTAAAACATTGGAATTGGACAAAACAAACAAACAGAAGGGAAAGAACCCAAGAGAAGACACAAGAGAGAGCCTTCACACATTCATGAATCCCATAAAAACACCAAACTTGTGCCGATAAATGCAGACCCTTTTGCATGCTTCCCCACTCTCAGAGTTCTCGTGTAGCTCTGGAGGACCTCGTTTCCTTGGTGTCCTCCATCTCCTCTAGCTCTTACACTCTTTCCACTTTCCTCTGCTGTGGGGTTCCCTGAGCACTGGGGAAGGGATTTGATAGAGACATCCCATTTATGGCTGAGTGCTCCAAGGTCTCTCATTTTCTGACTAGCTGTGGGTTTCTGTATTTTTTCCCATCTGCTGCAGGAAACTTCTCTGATAATGGCTGAGCAGGGTGTTGATCTATGAGTGTAGCAGAATGTCATTAGGAGCAATTTTATTTTTATTTAAAAAAAAAAACAATAGTAGTATTTGGTTTACTCTAGGTCCCTGGGCTATCTAGTCTCAAGTTCTTGATCACCCAAGCAGGATCAGGTATAGATTCCATCTTGTGAAGTGGGCCTTAAGTCAAATCATATATTGGCTGGTTACTCCCATGAGCTCTAAGCCACTATTGCACTAGCATATTTTGCAGGCCACACACCAACTCTACATAAAAGATTTTGTGGCTCGGTTGGTGCTTACATTTCTCTTTTGGGAGCATGCAAGGTACCACCCTGTACCAAAGACCTGGAACATAGAGGAAAAGGCATTATGTAGGCACCTGGTTGACTTCCCCATATTTAATGAGTTGTGTAGATGTTGTCTTCAGCAATTGAACCTAGTAGTCAGTTTGCTAAGAGCAACCTGTAATCTTGCCCAACATCCTGGGTTGTTTATGAATTTCCATGTGAGTCCATTGAACAACAACTCAATTAGATGTAACCCAATCCTGGTACTGGAAGCTTCAGTTGATGACAAGAGATGGCTAGTTGAGGATCTCTCTCCCCTTATTATTTGGAGATTTCAGTTATATCACCTTCATATATGTGTATATTTACCCCTCAAATGGCCATTAATTTTAGCTATCTCTCCCCATATTTCCTCTCTTCCCTTCCCACTTGAAAAAAAACTATGGAACACTTCACAAATTTTCATATTATCCTTGCACTGGGACCATGCTTATCTTCTCTGAATTGTTTCAATTTTAGTATATGTGATGTCAAAGCAAACACAAGCAAATAGATGTCACATTATGTAAGGCAAAAATATATTTTGTAAGTTTGTCTATGAAGAAAAAAGAATATAGACTTGTATTAATTTTATTCATATTAATTCATAAGCCATATAACAAACATTAACTTTTATGATTTGGAATTGACATAGCTGGTCATGCACAAACAGAATAATAATATTATTAAGTTTGTCATTTTTGTATGTAACACAAAAAATGATCCTAAAGAGAAATTTATGTAGATAGACATAGACATAAAGATATAATTGTGTATACACACATACTTTCTCTCATAACTGTGCCTTTGGGTCCCCTTCTGTCAGAACAGACCACAGAAACACAGTCTAATTCATTAACATCATGTTAAACACAATCAGCACATTTTCTTAATCAAAGATCCTAAATTTTTTTAAAATTTAAATACTTAAATATTAAAGAGAATCTGTTGTTCAGAGTTAGCACCATGTTTTGTGTTTGTACATTCTTTTATTTTTAATGTCATTCACATTTTACAATGTTCAAAGAACTATATTCCTAAGAGGAATTATTAAAAATAGGAAGTTGGAGGGATGGCTTGGTCAATAAGAACTAGTAAAAGAAGTATGGCGACCTAAGATCTAACTTCCATCTCTAGCACTCATATGAATGCTAAGTTGCCTGGTATGAATTTGGAATCCTTGATGTGGGAGACAGGCAGATTCCAGGGCCTTGGAGCCCAGCCACCCCAACTGAACAAGCAAGCTGCATGCTCAGTGAGAGACCCTGACTCAAAAAAGAAGAAAAATGAGTGAGGGACAAACTTCACACATGCAGAGACACATGCAAATTAACCCACATAAACAGATACACATGTATATGCATGAACAACACACATTTGCTTGCTCAAAACTGCTTTATTTATCAACCGATAAAAGCAACACATATTCATGGCATACAGAAGGACAGCTCATATCACATATTCATACATAAGGACAAGAAGAAACAAATAAGACAGAGGGATAAACTTATTTAACAGAATTAAATTTGATACTATAAAATTTACATTTTTCTAGATAATCCTGTGTTTACATATATATATATACATACATATATATGTATGTATGTATACATACATATACACACATATATAAGTATGTCTTGCATCATAGGATCACACCTGAAACTAGAAGATATTTTGCATGCTATCTTGTTCCTTGCATTTTTCTATCAAGGAAATGTAGCTCTGAAGGAAAAAAAAATTTACATGAGCATCCAAATGCCAGTCTGTCAAGGCTGGAAGTTAGAAGCCAAGTCTCTGACTTTGGTCTAAGCTTATACCTTAATAATAATGACAGTTTGAGACCATTCTATGAGCTAACCATTTCCACGCTTTGAGTCATTTATATTTCCCAAGTCGTTCAGAGTCCAGATTTTATCAACAATCCTATTTTAGAAGCAAAGGAAATACAATGCAGACAGTTAAACTATCTGTAGTGAGGCTGTATACTGAACAGACAGGCTGAGTTTAGCAGTCATGCTGGCCCTGCAAGACTCCTACTCTGTGTAGATACACCCTGTGTATATTCAAGCCTATACTTTCAACCTCACCCTCCCCGAAACCAGTAGTGAGAAATCATTCCACATTATATCCCTATAATTCTAACATTCACATTAGCTCTTTAGGACACTCAGTTTCCACTGCTTCATTGTCATCTCTCTCCAATTTTATCTAGACCTAAAATCCAAACCCATCCACCAGTCAGAATCAATATTTCAATCAGCCTGGGTAGCATGAAAGGGATGCACCTGGCAGCAGCTGCTGCCGCTACAACAGCTTTGTGTCTCTCACTGCATCTTTTACAGCAATTTGGTTCTTTGAAAATCTCAAAATCATTGTCTTAGGAACACTGCTTTTCTCCGCATATATGATGACTGTCATGACAGTGTAAAAGGGAAAAATCCAGTGTCTTGCAGGTTGATCTTAAAGGACAAGAAATTTTTCCAGACCAAAAAAAAAAAAAAAAAAAAAAAAAAAAAAGTCCTGAAGTTAAAACACTTTTATCTCCCAATAATCATCTATGCTTCTGTCTTCTGAGCCATTCTGTCAGAACAGGAAGAATGCATTAGAGACAGACCTTTTGTTGTCATTTATTTTCCTTCTTCCAACAGTGTTATGAGGGAATGGCTATTATCCACATGTCTCACGTTATTGGGGGAAAGCAGTGGGCTTGGGGAGATTAAGTAGTTTGCCATTTTAGTAAAAGGCAAATCTAGATTTTAGTACAGGTCCCTGTGACATAGAGGTACACCCTACCCTGACACAGAAAAGATAGCATGGCGGGGGACATTTCCACAGGGAGGCTGTACATCTTATCCCTTCAAACTAGACCCTGGCAGATGCACTTGCAATGACATCTGTATAAATCCCACTGTCGCCAATTCAATTTCAGAAGCAATAACAACAACAACAACAACAAATAGTTTAGCTGAAGAAAGCTTGATACAGGATGGAGATAGGGAAGAAGAGAGCAAAACCAAACAACATGATTAAAAAAAATATAGCCAATTCGCATAAAGATTTTATACAGAGCCTAAAACATCTTTAGCCTCAAAAACACATACAACAGTCATTTTAAAAATCTGATTAGTTCTTTCAGAATCTCATACAATGTGTTGTGATCATATTCAATCCCCTCCCCACCTCTTCTAAGATCCACCCTCCTTCCCTTCCTAGCAAATGTGTCCTTTTTCCCCTCCCCCTTCAAGTCCAATTTGTTTTGCCCAAATGCTCTAGCATGCATTGCCTTGCACTGGAGCGTGGTTCAGAAGATTATTTTAAAGAATCATTTCCGTCTGTCTGCATCCTTTTGTGAGGTACTCAGAAACAGAAATTCATGAGTGGTGACCATGACAACAAACTTTCGTCTAGGCCTTCTCCATCATGCCTCTGCTCAGTTTACAATAATAGAGGAAGTAGAAAAGAAACAGGTTCACTATGCTTCTGAAAGGTACTCTTGAAATAAAATTGCTTTATATTTCTAAGTACATATATTAATGAATTATTGTAGACTTTCTAAGTTAACCATTACTAAAGATTATCTTGCCCAGTCCTCTGAAATCCTTTTGGTAAGTATCGGATTCAGATTACTAGCACCCAGGTTAAGAAGAGATAATGGTTGCCCATGGAGGTACATGGCTGGAAAAAAATAGCACTGAAGAACAGAGACACAAGGATCTCTGGACCTTGCTGACCAGACAGTCTTGTCAAATCAGTAAGTTCTAGGTTCAGTAAGTGAAAGACATCGTCTCAAGGAATAAGGTGGGAAGTGAGTTATCAATGAAAATATCCCAACTTCAACATCTGGCCTTCCTGTACATACTCAATGAAGGAACAATTTAACCTCCTTTTTTATTGTTCGAGAATGTAAGAGATACATATAGATTTTGATAATCTACCCTCATTACTTGTCCTACAGTTCCTCCTCTATTCCCATCCATCCACTACTTTTTCCTCACAACTTCATGTGCTGTTTTTTAAAACCCACAAAAACCATTTAGTCTTTATGTGCATAGGTTTACTACCAGTTACTGGAGCATGACTTAGCCTCTCACAGCCTTCATCCCTGAAGAAAACAGAATTTCGCTTCTCTACCACTTATTGATTGACAACTGCTTGGAAGAACCACTTTTAAAGAGCCATATCAGTTATTAAAATGCATTTTCAATAACTATTATTTCTAGACATTTTATAATGTTTTATAACTTTATTCAAAGATTTAGTTACAAAGGACTAGTTTCAAGTTCCAACAATGAAAGTCTAATCATTCAAACCAAGCCTATATATGATCATGATGTAAGGTCAGTGAGAATCACAAGTAACAAAGGTACACTTGGACTGGAAATGTGTCTCACTAGTAGACCACATGTTCAGTGTGTACGGTCCCTAAATTTGAATGCTAACACCACAAATGCACAAAAATGCCTACTTGATTCTCTGAGTGTAAATGTACAAGAAGACATATATAAAGATATGTAATGAAAAGACAAGTGTTTGCAATACTCTTTTAATGCATATTTTCAACTGCTTTCCACAATAACTCTTTGTAGTAATCAATGGTTTTTATCTTTGCTAGTTTGTGTATAAGAGATTTAAACTTAAAAAACAAGAAAAAAAAAGCAATTAATCTAGTATTTCATAAGAAGAAGAGAACTAGAAGAAGGAATTGTTTCAGGGAGGAGGAATTAAAATGATTGCTTAAAGCAACAAAAGAAGGATGGAAATAGTTAAACTGCATCAAAGCAAACTGATGAACATTTCACAGACTACTAAGACAGGGAAGAATTAGATGGTAAGAAACAGTAAAGCTTAGTGACTACTTAGCTTCTTTGAAACATCACAGCCCAAGTAAAAAGGCAGAACTGGGCTGCAATGAAGTCTAAAATAATTGAGAAGGATATTACAAACATCCAAGTTGTACCTCCTGGGGGTGGCCTATACAATGACACTGTCACCACTTCTGGGAGGCCTTCCATCTGCCACAGACATCTAAAGTCCCATGTGCTACCTTGTAACATCATGATTTGTTATAATTAATTACTGTTCAGTAAGAGGGTCAAACCTTTGAGGACAAGCATTATATCTGTTCACTGCTGACACCTCAGAGCCTACCAGATCACAGAATTCTCAATAAATGTGTATTTAATTAATTACCTAACTACAAATTAAGGTAATGAGAAAGCTTGCAAATTAGATTATTGATTCATACTAAGGAAACTTTAATAATCAGAGAAGATTTAAGAATCACAGAAGACAGAGGTCAAAAAGTTACCTGATTTTTGCAAAAGGAAAATATTCACCAATCATCCACTGATATTTTGTTGACAATCTCAAGTTAGGGTTTATACTGAAAAAGTAAAAAGACCCTGTGAGCACTTCAGAAAGTGCATTCTAATCAATATGGACCATCCTGGGTTCATTTAGAAAGAGTATTACCCAGCCAGTCAGATTTTCTTCCTGACTCC